TTTTTTTTTGCTTTAATTTTTTTATTGTGAAAATTCTTTACAGAGGGGTTACAATTACATGGGCAAGATAATGAGTACATTTCTTATCAAGCATTGTAGCCTCCTCCTTTGTTTCCCCTTCCCCTCCCCCTGCCCCCCCACTCAATCCTCCCCGCTCTCCCCCCCACCAAAGTTGTAAAGTTTGTTTTCGACATAATGACTTGTACATCTCATTGTTGAAATGGGTCCACCTGTATCCCTATTAAACGATTTGTTTTTCCCCTTCCCCTCCACAAATTATACCGACAGTGAAAGCAGGGGTTATACTGTGGGGGAGGGACATACAAAGCAACAAAGAAATAATCTTATGTGTTAGAAACAATTGCATGAAAGAAAAAAACATTTGAATACATATCTTAGGGTTCATTTCCCTAACATCACCTTATCTGACCTTTTCTGCTTGACTAGATATTGCAAATAAGGGAAACCATGGGACCTATGTTTCTTTGGGCCTGGCTTACTTCACTTAATATAATTTTTTCCAAGTCTTTCCATTTCCAAACAAATGGGGCAATGTCATTCTTTCTGATGGAAGCATAGCATTCCATTGTATATATATACCACATTTTCTTGATCCCCCAGAATATTATCTTTATTAAGATTTAATAAGGCAATCTGAAGATTACAAGGATTTAAGTGTATTCTTGATTCATTGTTCTTTAACCTGCTTTGTCCTCTTGATTAATATATTCCAGGTCATTGTAGATGAACCTTATATTCTTTCCAAGAGTTAAAGCTATTTTTATCACAAGACATTCAGTGTTTGTAAGTGCTCTGGAATAAGAGTTGCAGAAATGTAAGCATATTGTCATTTCAAAAGGGTCTCTTTCAGAGCCCTGGCTGAAGCAGAAATTTGGCTTATGAATCATTTGATTTGTTCGGTTTTGGTTTTTGCCAGTCCTGGGGCTTGAACTCAGGGTCTGGGTACTGTCCCTGAGCTTTCTTTTGCTCAAGACTAGCACTCTACCACTTGAGCAACAGTTTCTTCTGTTTATGTGGTACTGAGGAATCAAACCCAGGGCTTCATGCATGCTAGCCAAGCACTCTACCACTAAGCCATATTCCCAGCCCTGAATCATTTGAGTAACTAACATTTGTTGCTAATCCTTCACAGTCTGAAAAATAACCCATGTGATATTTCCCAAGGATTCTACTTGGAAAGTTGTGGATTTTAATTTTTCCATATCTGTCATTTTTTGGTCCAGTTGGTGTATTCTGTCTTCTGTATCTGACACTCTACATTCCATTTCGTTCACTCTGTTAACTGTGGTTTCCATTGTGGTTTGAATGGAGGAAATGGACTCCTGTATGGATTTGACATTGGTTCTCAAAGTACTGATCTCACTTCTTAATGAGGTATGTACTGCCTCTATTTTGGCATTTATCTCACTTCTTACTGAGGTGTGTGCTGCCTCTATTTTTGCATGTATCTCCTGTTTGATATCCTGTATCTCTTTTGATAGTTCATCCTTGTGCTCTTTCAATTTCTAGTGTATTTGTCGCTTTATTTCTTGAGTCATTGCTTCCAGCATCCCTTGGATGCAACTTTTGTCTTCCATTCCTGCTTTGCTCCCACTGGAGCTCTCCCTTGCGTGGCTGCTAGCTATTGGGGATAGCTTGCTATCCTGGGTGTTGATAAACCTTGTAATTTTTCTCTGTGATTTTCGCATGGGGGTTCAGGATTATGGGAGACTAATCTGAATTTTGTTTTGGTGTGTCTGTCTTTGCTTGGTTGCTGTTTCTGTATTGGTAGAGAGAGTCTGTGCCTGATCTGGGTTCTGTTTGGGGCCTACCTCCAGCTGCTGGTCTGACCTACATAAGATTCTCGGCTCGCTGCTGTAGATCACTGGCAATTCCCGCCTTTGGAAGGGATGAGCAGCCTAGACTGCTCCTGTTTGGTCCCATGGGTGCTCTTGGCAAGATCCCATGTTCTGGATGCACTCTCCCAGATGCTGGAGTCTGCTATGGACTCCTGATTTTTTTTTTTGTTTTTGTTTTTTGGCTGGTTGTGGGCTTGAACTCTGGGTTTGGGTGCTGTCCCTCAGCTCTTCAGCTCAAGGCTGGCACCCTACCATTTGAGCCACAGCACCACTTCTGGCCCTTTCTGCTTATGTGGTGCTGAGGAATCAGATCCAGGGCCTCATGCACCCAAGACTAGCACTCTATTGCTGAGCCACCTTACCAGCCTGAGCTCCTGCCTACTATCAGGTGCTGGCGGCCTGTGTTGTCCAATTCCCAGCCTACAGTATATGGGTAGGGTTTTGGTGGGATTTGGGCTTCTCTTGTCCTGAGCCCCCAGGTCTTTTGTTGTCACTGGCGTGCTTCCCAGGGGGTGCAGTTCCCTGTTTTTCTCCCCTCTGCTGAGGCATAAGGCTCAGCTTTTGACTTCAGTTGGGAGGAGTTGGTTGTGTTGTTCAGGCCCTGGATCCCCAGGCCTGGTCCCGGCCCCCTGCCTGGGGCACGCCGGTAGGGCCTGTGCTGCTGTGTATACCACCTAGGTTATGTAGCCTGGGGTACACAATTCAAATTTCTTCTACTGTTGGTTGTCTTAACCCAGGGGCGCTGTTCCTGGCTTGGGCATTTAAGCTCCCTTCCAGGGGCGCTCTTGCTCTAGCCTGGCCAGCGGAGTGTGCTCCATGAGCTGGTGGAGCTCTGGAACAGTTCCCAGTTTTAGTAGGTCCTGTGGTCCGGGTGTTGGGGAGGGAGTCTAGGTCAGGGTCTGGGGATTCCCTCCAGCTCTGGTCTCCTTTGAGGGATACACTGTCCCCTGTGGGGTACTCACCCCGGAGCTAGTTGTTTCTGTGTCATCAGTTGCTGTTGCAATCCGAGTTCAGTTGGGGTGGTTGTGGGCTGGGCTGGGTGGTGGTGGCTCTGTGTGATTCTCTTCTGTCTCTGCCTCTGTCCATGCTGTTGGGTCCACAGCGTCCACGCCGCGGGCGAGGGGTGGGGGCTGGGCCTCCATACTGGTTCAGAGCACTGGGGTTTGTCTCTGTTTGCACTCTCCAGATCAGCACTAGTTCTTTGCAGGTCTTACGCTCTAGTGTTCTGTGGACGTCCCATGTAGCTCTGGGGCTCCCATCGTGGGTCCGAGTTCCGGGCTTGGGGGTTTCTCCGTTTATCGCAATCGGCGGGTCTGACACTGATACCTCAGGCAGCTTCTGCCGGGTTATCTCCAGATAGCCCCCTGTGTCTCTGGGACCCTTCGGGCTGGCTGGTGGCAGCTTGGCGCGTGGCCGGTGCTGGGCAGCTTTGGCGGGATGGAGCCTCTCTGCTCGGATGGAGTGAGGGGTGGGAGTGGGATCTTTGTGGAGACTCCCAGCTGGTAGGTTTCTCTGTTTGTGGTGGTCAGCCGGTCTGCAAATCTGTACCTCAGGCGGCTTCTGCGCGGGTGATCTGCAGGCAGCCCCCTGTCTCTCTGGGGCTCCTGCAGCCCCCGCTGGGCTGGCTGGCCGCGGCTTGGTGCGCTGCCGCGTGGCCAGTAAAGGTTGGGGGAAGAGTCTTCACTCTTCTCTGTTCTGAAATTTTTTCTCTTTTTTTTGTTATTTTCCACCTCCTGTTTTTCTCTGGGTGTTCGTCTTTTTGTTGTTGTCGGTCTCTTGAGGAGATTAAGCGTTGAACTAGAACTCTCTTTTTGGTTGGGGAGAGCTGTGGCGTTTCCCTACTGCCCCATCGCCATCTTGGTCCCCCCTTCAACTTGTGGATTTTAAATATGGTCTGACACTGTAAAACTCACAGAATTCAGAATTGGACATAATGGATAGAAAACTTCTTTCTAAACTAGCTCTCTGCATGATTAGTTGTTTCGTAGTGCTACAGAAAGAAGCTCCTTGAGATACTTGTGCTCTTTACTTGTGCTTCAATGCTGAGTAGGGTGTGGCTTTCTAAATATCCTAGCGTATTACCTCTCATCCGAGGGCTTTCTGTGCCTGTCATTGAGAAAGCTGTGGGAAAGGACCAGGCAGTCCCCTTCAGAAGTCCCATTCTAGAGGAGTAGTAGTGTCACAGGATTCTTACTCTCTGATTTTTTTAATAGACATGTATTTCTCTTAATAGATCAAATTTGATTCTGAAAGTAGGCCTTGACTTTTGCCCACTCAGTCAAAATTAGACCTTTCAAAAAAAGAAAAAAAGGAAAAAAAGCTCACAAAATGTGTGTATGTATGTCTTTGAGGTATGGGAATTTTCAGATATTTATGAGAGAAGGGTGAAGAATATGGCCACTCTTGTCATTATATCCATCAATTACCAGCATTTACTACTCTCCTTTTTACTTTTTTTTTATGGTGATGGTTGTGGTGATTCATGCAGAATGTAAAGCCAAACATCACAAATTTCAGCCATTAATATTTGACAAGTCACTAAGTAGATTTTTAATGGCTTGTGGATATTTGAAAATAAAATTTATTTTTATGTTGATATTAACATGGTTTCTGTCTTTGTTCCTCTCTAGTAATAGGCCAAGTTTTCCTATGCTCATTTCATCTTTCCTTGACTATGTCCAAAACTTTATTTTATTCTTGTCTTAGCTAGAATGATTTTACTAGACCACTATTGAGAGAAAGCATGAAACTACCCAATTTATGCATATATGTAATTTTAAAACTTCACTTTGTAGACCATTTCCATTTCTGACTAAAGATTGTCAAATTACCAGCAAGAGATTTTTAGTTTGTGCCTGAGCCACCACTCTCATTACAGGTCGATGGATTGATACAAGGGGATATTTTCACAATAGATTAGCAAAAGGAAACTGTGTCATTGAAGACCTAAACCAACATGATTTGTATCTCATCAGAGTTAAGGACTATTTTGCTTAGCAGCATGTTCCATATGTGTATATGCTCAGAAACTAGAGTAAGTTGGGTAGCTCTAAACACATAAATATGGTAGTAATTTTCCATAGATTCTACTTTCTTCTAATACTTTCAAGCTCAGGGACTATGATGGGTTGTATCTTTCAGCGGAACTCCCACCTCCATATACAGCCATCGCCAGTCCGGATGCCAGTGGTATTCCAGTAATCAACTGCCGTGTGTGCCAATCACTAATCAATTTGGACGGCAAGCTGCACCAGCATGTGGTTAAGTGCACGGTTTGCAATGAAGCTACGGTAAGTGGTGATTTCCACTAACAAAATAATAAATTATCTGACCTTATTCCTAAAGGAAGTTCTTCACTGGTGTTACTGAAGAGTAGATATGGGCTGTCCACAACTAGGATGGGTTTTTTTGGGTCTATTTTTTTGCTTCTGCTTTTCTTTCATCATACAAAGATGCTCCATAATTTTAAACAAATCTCCTTAATTGTGCATACTTCTGTACTTCTGTACATATTTACATCACTGCCTCTTATTCCCCTCTGTCATCTTGTACCTCTCTCCTGTATATGAGAAAACCTTCAGCATTTATCTTTCTAAGTCTGTCTCATTTCATTTAAAGTGATGATCTGAAGTTCTTTCTATACATTTTCCTGCATGTAACATGACTTTGTTCTTTATTAAGTTTGAAAATACTCTACTGTGTAGGCACTGCACATTTTCTTTAACTTTTCACTCTAAAATTTCTTTTATTAGCATTATACAGGGATGTATTATACATTTCTGTTTACAAATATATTCCAATCAATCTCATTTGCTCTATCACTCTCTCTCCCCTTTCTTTCTTCCCAAAACAATTTCAACAGATTTCATAGTTCTACTTTCATAGTTGCAGCCAATCTCTCTTGACCATAAAAATCCTTTTCCTACATACTACATTTCCTTTATCTATTCATTTGTTGCTGGGCACCAAGGCTGAATCTATAACTTTGCTATTGTGAATAGTGTAGCAATAAATATTGGTGTACAGGTATTACTTTGATTACTTCAGATATGTACCCCAAAGAGAAGTGTAGCTATATCATATGGTAGCATTAGTTTTAGTTTTTTGATAAATTTCCATATTGAGTTCCATAATGGCTGTGTTTATTTTCATTCTCATGAGCAGTGTAGAAGGGTCTCCTTTTCCTCCCAATCTTTCCAGCCTTTGCTGATATTTTCTTGATGATTGTCATTCTGACTAAGGTGAAATGAATATCAACATCATTTTCATTTCCTTTATGGCTAAGGATGTTGAACATTTTTAATGTTTTTATTTGGTATTTGTATTTCTATTGAGAACTATCTTTTCAACTAATTTACCAGTTTATGGTTTGGACTTTAGGATATATATATATATATATATATATATACACACACACACACACACACATACATATATACATATACATCTATGTATATGTATACACACACACACACACACACACACACACGTGTGTGTGTGTACCTAAAAGTCTTATAGAAATCTTTAGGGTTTTTAGACTGTAAAATCACACTGTGAACAAATAGGGAGTTTTTCTAAAATGAGATTGGCAGTAGCAGCTATTTATACTTGTTGTCAGTTGTTGTCACAACTTAATCCACTCTGATTTTTACTAAATTAGAAATATACTAGGTTTTAGTACAAATGTGGACTCTATCCTTATGTAGAAAAATATTTACATTAATTTTATATCTGTGGGGTATCAAAACCATTTTCACATAATCTCAAAAGTCCCCCTACCAAATGGTTCTGACACCTACAGTTATCACTATGTTAAAGTGAAACCTTACAAATAGCTTGGCATTTTATTTCATTTATTAAGAATTAATTCAGTGAAATGTTAAAAAATAACAAAACTATAGAGAATAGTCTTAAAAATAAACTCCAAGACAACAAACTAAATTTTAAGCAAAAATTTTAGAGCTTCACATAATAAAAATTGGTAATTTTTTACTGGCTTAGATATGTTCCTTTCATAGTAAAGATTTATTTTTTATAATTTCAATCTGATAAACTGCAATTAAATATTAATTTTTGGCATTTGCATTTTTTCTTCAGAAGTGTATAAATCATCTAGTAATTGTGTATCTGAGAACCACAAATTATGGATACTAGGCTTCACAGGTTTTATAAAACAATCATAAAATAAAGACTTAAGTTATAAAACAATATATTTTATTGTAAATAGGGGGGTTCTTAAATGTAGAGCATTCCCTAGAAAAGAAATTTATCATGTGAATCAATGATACTTACCAGTTGATTTCTTTATAAATTGGTCACTGACTAGTGTATTTAGTGGTAGTCTTGGCAGCATTTGTAAGCTAATAGTGTCCAGTCTTGAGCAGCAATTAGAAAACACAGGGCTTCAAAAATTTCCTTCAACTCAACAATAATGTTAATATCGTTTAATAATCATATAATTTATTTTTTTTACCTTTTAAACATTTTAACCAGCTTTTTGCTCCCTACCCAGGCTGGCCTCAACTTCATGATTTTACTTCCAACCTACTCCCTACTGGGATTGACAGGCATATACCACTAAGCTTGTCTCTTGTTCTTTAATGAATGGGGGTGGGGGAAAGAATTACAAACTTTTATGTTGTAAACAGAGCAAACTATGACATTTGTATAAGAACCTCAAAGTTCCTATAGATTTAGGAGTCAGTCTTTCCACTTAGAAGTGATAAATTAGTGCAGGAATCAGTGGGGCTTGCTAGAAAAAAACTACTTCTCAGTGTCAGGGGAGTTTTGTTGAATTTTGCCCAGTTAACCGCCCAGGTGGTATGTGAATAATATGCAAATAATTGTGACGACTCCATCCAGAAAAAGTGAAGGGCATCTAATCAGATAGCCTTCTTTGGGATCAGTAACATTAAAAGAGAGGAAGAAGTGAAAACAGAGTGAGAAGTTTCTTAACATGTAACTGACTGATGTCTAAAATGTAATTTGATCTTCAGTTTGTAAGTGAGAAAATGTTAGATAACTAGATACTTCTTTGAGGGAAAAATCTAGGTTGAAAATAACAAACATACTGGACACCAGAGCACACAATTCTGTCTTCTGTAGACTTTTACTGAATTTTACTGTCATTCATAGTCATGTCACCTAAAACAAGCTGTCAGTGTTTCTGTCCTGGGTAGGCGCTCTGATAGGAACCTGATACACCTGTGTAGATTAATACAAAACAAAGCAACCAAGGTTAGTTCTTCTATTTTAGTAGGTTGAATTGGGAAATAAATGTCTGTGCGTGCACACACACACGAGAGAGAGAGAGAGAGAACAACATTTTAGGACTTGAAAATACAGAAAGTAATACTTAAAGATTAAAAGAGAAATATTTTCTAGGGCAATGACTTAACTGATTAGAAGCCTGAGATCAGAGTAGGCAGCCAGACCTCATTTACTAGCTGTGTATCTATCTGTGAGGACTTCACTTTTTTTTTTCTTTTTCTTTTTTAAATTTTATTTTATTTTATTTATTATTTATTTTTAATTTAATTGAATTGAATTTATTTATTACAATTACATGGGCAGGATAATGCATACATTTCTTATCAAGCATTGCAGCCTCCTCCTTTGTTTACCCTTCACATCCCTACCCAGCCTCCCCCCCCCCCCCTAGTCCTCCCCCCTCCCCCCCCACCAATGTTCTTGTACTTCTCATTGTTGCAACAGGTCCACCTGTATCCTTAAACGACTTGTTTTTCCCCATCTCCTCCACAAATTATACCGACATCAAATATAGTGAAAGCAGGGGTTATACTGTGGGGGAGGGACATACAAAGCAACAAAGAAATAATCTTATAAATGCATTAGAAACGAATGCATGAAAGAAAAAAACGGGACTTCACTTTTTTAAAACTGTAGTTTCCTCCTCTAAAGGACTGCCATATTAGGAATCCTATAGAATTACTGTTGAGATACAGGAGTAAAATGTTCTTTTTTTTTTTTTCCTCTCTTAAAATGTATTTATAAAATGAGGGTATTTCTATACATGTACACACTATACTTTGGGAAAAAAGTGCTTTTTTCTCAAATTCTATTTTTCTTGGTACTTTACATAGGTATACCTTTTGGATGTTTGTGAAATGTAGATATTGAGATTTAGTTATATAATTTAGTTATATGTTTGAGTTATATATTTTATTTACTAAATTATAGGTGGCTTGTTGATAATTTTTAGTTATTTCACTTATTTGCTTAGCATTTAAATTTTTTAAGAGTATTACACATACACAAAATGTCACAAAAATGTTATGTATAGATACCCCTCAGGTTTCTCTGGAGTTGTATATTAGTAACCACATCATAAATAGAAACTACTGCAAGTTGAAAAGTACTTAATATATGTAACCTACTATAGGTGAGCAACGTAGCATATAGCACTCCTGAAGGGTTTACCCCTTGAGAACACGTGAATTGAGTAGCTTCTAGAGTTTTGAACTGTATATTAGTAGCCTTGAAAAAAGATCAGTGTTCAAAATTCTCAGTATGAGAATGTATATCACTTTCTTCATACTTTCATTAAAAAAAAACCCAAAAAATTTCAAGTTGAGCTACTGCAAACTTAAGGACTGTCAAAGGCTAGGATGAAGAATGCATCTATGCCCATGACTCTTCTGAAGACTCTCTAAGTAATAATCCCTTTAGAGCAAGCTTCCTAAAAACAGGAACGTTCACTTACATATCACAATGTAATTATTGTGTTTAGGAAATTAGCATTACTACTGTGTCACTATCTGATCTTTTGACCTAATTTCAGATTTCCCTAGTAGTTCAATGAGTGTCCTTTACAACAAAATAAATTCTGTACTGGAAGCGAGTCAAATCAGCCTTACAGGCTACCTTTGATTGTCTTGTTTTTTTTTTTTTTAATGTTCTTCTTGATGTGAAACTTGCTCTTCATTTTGTATTCCCCCTTTTTTTTTTTTGTGAAGAGAGCTAGCAAGATACTGTCTTTGTTGTCCCCTTTACATATATATATATATATATATATATATATATATATAAGTATATTATATACTTTTTATTGCAAAGGTGCTGTACAGAGAGGTTATAGTTACATGAGTAAGGTAATAAGTACATTTCCTATTGAGCATTCTTACCTCCTCCTTTGTTTTTTCCCTTCCCTCTCCACCTCCCCAATTCCTCCCCCCCTCCCCAAAGTTGTAAAGTTCGTTTTCAACATAGTGTCTTGTACATCTAATTGTTAGAATGGGTCAACCTGTATGCTTATTTCAGCATTTTGTTATTTCCCTTCCCCTACCCAAATTAGAAAAATGTATATACATGATGCAGGACACTAGAATCAAATACAGTGAAAACAGGGGTTGTTCCATGGGGGAAGAACATACAAAAGAAAAAAATCACATAGTACATTATTAATACATTAAAAACAATAGCAAGAAAGATAAAACCACTTGTGTCCCTATCTTGGGGTTCATCAGAAGACTCCACATAGAACTCCCCTATGACCCAGCAATCCACTTTTGGGCATTTACCCAAATGATCACAAACAAGAATATATTAAAGCTACCAGCACAACTATGTTTATCACAGCATTATTTACATAGCTAAGATATGGAACCAACCCAGATGCCCCTCAGTAGATGAATGGATCAAGAAAATATTGTGCGTGTATATATACATATATACACACGTATATGTATATCTGTATATATGTGTATATATATACATATATATGTATTGAATTCTATGCCTCCATCAGAAAGAATGGCACTGTCCCATTTGTTAGGAAATATAAAGACTTGGAAAAAATTATATTAAGTGAAGTAAGCCAGGCCCAAAGAAACATAGGTCCCATGGTTTCCCTTATTTGCAATAACTAGTATATGTCTAGGACCAGCAGAGGAGGTCAAAAGCTATGTACATCTGTTTTCCTCTTGTTTAGCTTCCAGTCATATGTTTTGCTGGGAATCTCACAGAAGTGAGGCTCTGTTCTTATTAGTGTGATTATTTAGTTTAATAAACTTAAGCCTAGAGTTACAAAGAGTATTTTCTCTGAGATTTATTCTCAGGTTAAAAGTATACTATAAAGTTGTCTTATAAAGAAATGCTAGTGCAATTACAAATTTGTAAGTTCAAGTATATCATATAACTAGTTGCTTATATTCTATTCAGTAACTTTTTTTTTCTCCACTGTGTTTATCAAGTTTGCTCTTCCTGGACAGGTATAAAAGTCCTTTGTGAATGTTTGCATCTGACTAGAAAGAGAGTTGATCACCTTGTCTTATGAACTTTAAAAAGACAAAAAAACCCCCACCACTTAGTGTGCACTAAATATTCCTTCCATATCAAAAAGCCCAGTACAAACTAAATTTGAAATACACCTTTCATAATTAAATCTGTCGCTGCCCCCCCCCCATTACAAAGTGCTTGTGAACAATTGTAGTACTTGGAACCACTTGCAATGCACTGTTTCTCATATTATACTTTGGTAGTCCAAAGAAGTTCTTCCCTTCATAAACACAAACTGTGACAATATAGCTTTGATTAATTTTCTGTCTTTGCGTTTTCTTCCCTTATCTAGCCAATCAAAAATCCCCCAACAGGGAAGAAATATGTTAGATGCCCTTGTAATTGTCTCCTCATTTGTAAGGACACATCGCGGCGAATAGGATGTCCAAGACCTAACTGGTAAGAGATAAAGATTCATTCATCCATTCATTCCTCTATTCAAAAAGTGTCATTATGTTCCAGGCTTAGTTTTACTCAAACTTTGTTCTCAAAGTTGATTATAGCACCTAAATTGTGATTGTTGTTACTAAAGCAATGACATGCTTAGATATGTGTGGTCATTTGTAGGATATAATATTTTCAAATGAGAAATGGATGCTTTATCTTTGAAAGTATTTAATGAATGATGGTAAACTAGTGACTCATTGAACCTATTTTAAAATCACAAGTTATTTTACCTTTCAAATCTTGATTTTAATCCAGAAATGTTTTAGTTCTCATTATGTATTTCCTTGTGTTCTACAGTAGTCTCTGCTGAATGTAATGTATGTAATAATTGTTTGCTATTATGGAAAATACCATTATGGATACACTTAGATATAAGTAAAAGCCCTGAACTGTGGTTTTTGTTACCTTTTATCTGGGCTTTTGACCAGTACATGAACCATTCAAGACATATTGGTGATAGACTTAAAAATAAAAAGGCAAACTGGGCTCCCATTTTTTCCATATTTCCATTTGTTTAAAGAAGCATTAAAAAATTCTGGACTTCTCAGAGAAATTTGTTTTCACCATTTTGGTACCTTTGGTACACATACTTTTATTTTTATTATTATTTTATTATTTTTTTTTGCTTATTCAGTCTTCTAAACTTAAGTAGTCTTTTTAGAGAAAAAAATGAATGAAAATTGATTTGAACTTGTAAAAACATGCATATGGCAGATAAGTGTTTCCCAACATCATTGATTAGGACTCATTCCATATTATCATGTTTAACTCTATCCCAAGTGTATAAAGACTGTTTTTTGCTTTTTATTATTAAATTTTTTATTGTAAAAATGTTGTACAGAGGGGTTACAATTACATGATTAATGAGTACATTTCATAGTGAGCGCTGTTACCTCCTTCTTTATTTTCCCCCTACCATCACTTCCCTCCCCGCCTTCCCAACTCCTCTCGTCCCTCCCACCCCAGCATTGTAAGATTTGTTTTCAATATAGTGTCCTGTACATCTTGTCATCACAATGGGTCAGCCTGAATCCTCATTTAAGCGTTCTGCAATTCCCTTCCCCTCCCCAAATTACAAAAATATATATACAAGGTGCATAGCACCAGCATCAAATCCAGTGAAAACAGGGGTTATACCATGGGGGAAGAACATACAATAGAAACAAAGAATCACACTAGCAAGAAAGGGAAAAAGAAAAAAAACAAAAAACCTCTTATGTCCCTGTCTTGGGGTACATTTTGCTTAACATTATCTCATTTGGTTGTATGTACATAGCCTTTGACCTGTTCTGTTTGTCCTAGACATGTACGAGTCACTGCAAACAAGGGAAACCATGGGACCTATGTTTCTTTGAGCCTGGCTTACTTCACTTAATATGATTTTTTCCAAGTCTTTACATTTCCTAACAAAAGAGGCAATGTCATTTTTTCTGATGGAGGTATAGAATTCCATTGTATATATGTACCACATTTTCTTGATCCATTCATCTACTGAGGGGCATCTGGGTTGGTTCCATATCTTAGCTATGGTAAATAATGCTGCAATAAACATAGATGGGCTGGTAGCTTTAGTGTGGTCTTGTTTGTGATCATTTGGGTAAATGCCCAAAAGTGGGATTGTTGGGTCATAAGGGAGCTCTATGTGGAGTCTTTTGAGGAACCTCCATACTGTTTTCCAGAGTGGTTGAACAAGTTTACACTCCCACGAACAATGCAGTAGGGTTCCCTTCTGGCCACATCCCCTCCAGCATCTGTTGTTACTAGATTTCTTGATTATAGCCATTCTAGCTGGGGTGAGGTGGAATCTCAATGTTGTTTTGATTTGCATTTCTTTTATGGCTAGAGAGGTTGAGCATTTCTTTATGTGTCTATTGGCCATACTTATTTCCTCTTTAGAGAAGTCCTTAGCCCATTTGTTAATCGGGCAGTTGTTTCTTTGAGGACTTTTCGCTGGGAGATTCAGTTTTCTGAGTTCTAAGTATATTTTATATATGAGACCATTGTCCATTGTATGGCTAGTGAAGATCTTCTCCCATTCCGTGGGCTTTCTGTTGATCTTGCTAGCTATGTCCTTTGCATTGCAGAAGCTCTGCAGTTTCATGCAATCCCACTTGTCCAACCTTTCTTTGATTTGTTGTGCTTCTGGGTCTTCTGCCAAGAAGCCCTAGAGTTTCTCCTATTCCTTCCTGTAATGTTTTCATGCAGTCTGCTTTTATTTCGAGGTCTTTGATCCATTTGGAGTTGATTATGGTGCAGGGTGATATATATGGATCTAGCTTTAGTTTTCTACAAGTGTTTAACCAATTTTGCCAGCACCATTCTATTTCTTTAGCTCCCTTATCAAAAATTAGGTGGCTATAGGTCTGTGGGTTAATTTCTTGGTCTTCAGTCTATTCCATTGGTCCTCAGGTCTGTTCTTGTGCCAGTACCAAGCCATTTTGTTTACTATGGTTTGTTGTAGAGTTTCAAGTTTGGAATCGATATTCCTCCAGTGCTGTTCTACTAGTTCTCCTTTAATTTCCTTTTTCAGGTTTTTAAAGTTTTTGTCATACAGGTCCTTCACCCATTTTGTTAACTCCTAAGTATTTTATTTTTTCTGGGGCTATTACAAAAGAGGTTGGTTTCCTAATTTCAGCCGCGCTCTTCTCATTATTGGCATATAGGAAAGCCATTGATTTCTGAGGGTTAATTTTGTACCTTGCTACTTTGCCAAAGTTTCTGATCAGCTCAATTATCTTGGGACTGGAGTCCATGGGGTTCTTTAAATACAAGATCATGTCATCTGCAAAGAGGGAGAGTTTTACTTTATCCTTCCCTATTTGGATCCCCTTTATGTCTGCATCTTGTCTTATTGCTGTAGCTAGACATTCTAATATTAGGTTGAAGAAGAGTGGGGAGGGTGGACACACTTCTCGTTCCTGAATTTAGAGGAAATGGCTTTAACTTTTTGCCATTAAGTATAATGCTGGCTGTAGGTTTGTCATATTTAGCCTTTATTATACTGAGGAATGTTCCATGGATTCCTAGTTTTTCCAGAGCCTTCATCATAAAGGGGTGTTATATCTTGTCAAATGCTTTTTCTGCATCTATTGAGATATCCATGTAGTTCTTATCCTTGTTCTTGTTGATGTGATGAAATATATTGTTTTGCATATATTGAACCAGCTTTGCATCCCTGAAATGAATCCTGTTTGATCGTGATGTATGATTCTTTTGATGAGTTGTTGAAGTCGACTGGCTAAGATTTTGTTGAGAAGTTTTGCGTTGATAGTTATCAAAGAAATGGGTCTATAGTTCTTTCTCTTTGATGATCCCTGCCTGGTTTATTTTTCGTTTTTGAGAGTCAGACAATTGATATTTTCTGTGATTTGGGATCCAAGGCTTGAGAATAATTTAATTTAAAAATCAAGCGTTAACAGTTTCATAGACACACTTCATGTTTTTGGTCATGTATTGCAGGTTTTGCCCTCAGTCCATTTTCTTTTTCTTTTCACAGTAGACGCATAATTAACCTTGGCCCAGTAATGCTTATTTCTGAAGAACAACCAGCTCAACCTGCATTGCCAATCCAACCAGAAGGTACAAGAGTTGTATGTGGGCATTGTGGAAACACGTTCCTGGTAAGTAACTGGATATTTGTCATAGAACAACTTATAACTATCAAATCTAGAGATTTGATAGTTGCTAATTGTCTTAATATTTTGTCAAATGTACATCAAATCACAAGTTAAAATAGACCCTTGTCTACTTAGGAAGGCAATTAACCAAAGATACAGTTATGACCTAAAGCTAGGGCATACAGTATCTTCTGTGAATTTGACAAGTCATAAAGCCTCTAATTGGTCCAATTGAGAAAAGGAACCACCTAGGTAAGATAAGAGTTTAGCTATGATATCTTGATTGGTGACTAAATAAATCTTTTTTGTTTTGGTCCGGTCTTGGGGCCTGAACTCTGGGCCTGGGCACTGTCCCTCAGCTCTTCACCTCAAGGCTAGCATACTACCACTTGAGCCACAGTGCCACTTCCGGCTTTTTCTTTTTGCTTATGTGGTGCTGAGGAATCGAACCCAGAGGCTCATGCACGCTAGGCAAGCACTCTACCACTGAGCCACCTTCTCAGCCCCTAAATAAATGTTACTCTTCTCACCTTCTTAGTAACAAAATACACATGCTAAGGCCTGTTTCATGGTTTTGGAATTCCAGAACATTTCTTACAATTAATTTATCAAAATTTTTCTGCTTTATACTTAGAGAAATGGAAATTAACTCTTTCACATGATATACAAACCATCAACTAATGAGAAAGTCTAAGGGATTTGGTATGAATAAAAGCAATTTGATGTGATTGCTGTCATGAAGGACTGAATGAGCTTAAGAAAGTACGTGGTATTTGCTTCTTGTCCATCTCTTTTTTCTTTTTTGCCAGTCCTGGGTTTTGAACTCAGGGCCTGAGCACTGTCCCTGAGCTTCTTTTGCTCAAGGTTAGCACTCTACCACTTGAGAAACAGCGGCACTTCTGGCTTTTTCTATTGATGTGGTACTAAAGAATTGAACCCAGGGCTTCATGCATGGAAGGCAAGCACTCTACCACTAAGTCACATTCCCAGCCTTTTTGTTTTACTTTTATTAAAGTAATTTATATGGACAATTGTTACTGTCAAAAAAACTACAGTATCTTCATCTACCTGATCCCCAAATATCATCCCCCAAATACTCTGAATTCTTCTAGGTGCTCTCCTTACTTACAAGTTCACTTACAAGTTCAAGTTCACTTACCTCACTTCTTTTTGATGAAGTAGTTTTGAACATTAACTACTAAATTATGTTACAAGCTGAGGATTTATCATTCAAATGAACAACCCACTTACATTCCTTTTCCTAATCCTGATTCCATATTCTCAGTAGGGTTATAATATTAGTGTTTACATGTTTTTGTTTTCCTTCTTTAATGATGAGGTGAATTACATTCACAACTGAGCCAATAGATGTACTACATTTCTGTATGGCTTTTGACATTTTCTTGGATTTAAAAATATAGGTCATCAGTTTTTCCCATACTCTTATAGAACTGTCAAGTTTCTGACAGTGTATTTGTATACATGAGAACTAAATATAGTATCCTCTAATAAAATATATTGATCTAAGATAAGTATATATTAAAGAATTTTTAAACAAATTGTATTTAGAAAGAGATGCCATTGAAAAATCTTCAAAATAGGGTTTTTTTTCCCTCTCCTTACTCAGATCTCCTTCCACAATGACTTTGCATTCTGACTTATTACAGTTGTATAACAAATCTTTACCATGGATTATCTTTGTAGCCACACTATGTGGGCTGATTTGTTTAACAAGATACATTGAATTGGTATCAGGTTCTGGGCTATTCCTAGGTGACAAGGAATCTGTGGTAAACAAGAAGCAGAGTCTCTATTTTTATAGAGTTTTCTAATCTAATAGTAGCGAAAGACAAAACAGAAATTATCTGCTATGTTTTTCACATAGACAGGGATGAGTAAAATTTCATTGTGTATATATACCACATTTTCCTGATTTACTCATCCATTGAGTGGCATCGGGCCAGTTCCATCTATTGGCTATGGTGAATAGTGCTGTAATAAACATGGTTGTGGTTTTTAGAGGATTTAATTTTTTAAGTTCTCTCTATATTCTGGATACTTATCCATTAGAAAGGATGATATTGTACCATTTGTAATGAAATGGAAAAAAGACTTGGAAAACATTAAATTAAGTGAAGTAAGCCAAGCCCACAGAGACAAACGATCCATATTCCATATATATATATATATATATGTATATATGTATATATGAAAGCTAGCTAGATATAGGTTACAAACTCATAAATATATTAGGCAGTATGCAAGATCTCAAATAGTGTAATTCCTTGGAAAGCCAAAATCAAAGTTCAGCAAAATGAAATACCAGGAAGTGGGTTATTGGAAGGTATAGGGCATGGTAGATAATGAAGAGAAGACAAAGGGGAAATTACAGACAAGAATCCAATGTGTAGCCTACAAAATTAAGAGGAGAGGGAAGGACTAGATAAGGGAGAATGTGATGATCAAGATATGTAAGAATGTGATGATCAAGATATATCATATGCCTTGTTAAATGGTAACTCCTTTGTACAACGACTTCAATATAAAAATAGATAAAACTATAGATGCATGCACATGCGTGTGTGCGCACACACAAATACCTATATAAAGGAAGTGTTGTTTGCGCATGCACACACACACACACACACACAAATACCTATATAAAGGAAGTGTTGTTCTCTTAGGAGTAAAGAAAGCTGTAGGAGAGCTTCTTCGTAGTTGAATATAAACTAAAGTCATATGTACAGAATGGACTGCTTAGGGGCAAATCTCAAGAGGCACAAGCCCAGATATTTAGTATAAAGAACTTGAGAGACAGAAAACTGAGTGTACTGTGAATTCATAGAAAAGAGAGAAGTAAAGGAAAATCAAAGACAACTGTTACAGAGATTTATATTTAAGTTTTTAAATGATCTGACAGTGAATTCAAGAGACTAATTCAAACAGAGTTCAAATGTGTGGTTGTGTGGGGAGGGACATGGTGTTTGTAATTAAAAATATATAATTCATGTATTTAGAAAATCCCTCTCCATGCCCCTGCACTGAAGAAAATTGGAAATATGAACACTAGAAACTAACTTTTGAAACTAGACCTTTCTTAATATGCAGGGCAAAAATGGACTGATATTACCATCTCTGTATTCTGTTGACAGTAATTATGGTTCAAAACTTTAATTCTCTAGGCAGAAAGAATATTTTCAAGTATAGAGTTCAAAGGTGATATAAATGTTTCTGAAAAGCACTTTTTGTTGATTCAGAGAGCATAGTAAATACCTGGTGGGTATTGTTGAGAATCTCAGATTAATGAGAGAAGCTCAGTGGTATGTGAGCTCAGTAATGACTTTTTTCTGTTACCTTCCACTTCTGGGAGCTAAAGGCAGAGCACTTGGCCTAGCATGCACAAAGTACAATGGAGATTGAACCTAGTGTGTGGAATACGTTAATTAGGTGCCACAGCCCTAACTTATAAACCCATTTTTTAAATAAGTTTTTTTTATTGTGAAAATACTGTACACAGGGGTTACCGTTACATGAGCAAGGTAATGAGTACATTTCTTATCAAGCATTATTGCCTCTTCCTTTGTTTTCCCCCTACCATCCCTTCCCCACCCCCACGCCTAAATTGTAAAGTTCCTTTTCCAATATAGTGTCTTGTACCTCTCCTTGTTACAATGAGTCAACCTGTATCTCTATTTAAACATTTTGTTTTTTCCCTTACCCTCCCCAAATTATACCAACATTAAATACAGTGAAAACAGGGGTTATACTGTGGAGGGAGGAACATACAAAGCAACAAAAAAATCACATGGTACCTTATAAATACGTTAGAAACAAGAGCAAGAAAGAAAAAAACCACTTGTGTCCTTATCTTGGGGTTCATTTCACTTATCATCTTATCTGACCTTTTCTGCTTGTCTCAGAAATATACTAGTTATTGCAAATAAGGGAAACCACGGGACCTATGTCTCTTTGGGCCTGGCTTACTTCACTTAATATAATTTTTTCTCAAGTCTTTCCATTTCCTAACAATTGTGGCGATGTCATTCTTTCTGATGGAGTCGTAGAATTCAATTGTGTATATATATATATATATATATATATGTACACCACACCCCCAAATAAACAAACTTAGAGATGAGAATGGAAACATCACTACAGAAACAATCAAGATTCAGAACATTACAAATCTTTATGCTAATAAGTTTGAGAATCTGGAAGAAATGGACAATTTCCTAGCAAATATCGACATGCCAAAACTAAACCAAGATGAGTTTAACCAACTTAACAGACCCATATCAAGCATTGAAATAGAAACAGCAATATATTTTTAAACAGCAATATGTTTTTAAAATATATTTTAATATATTTTAGGCTACTATCTGTAAGCCATGTCAAATATTTTAATAACATTCATGTGAGGAAGGCAGCACATTGTATTTGTCTACATTTACATGGAAGAAACCTTTAAAGAGAACATTGTCCCATAAGAGTCATCTGTTTTGGTAAGATCCTGTAAACATGTTCATACAAGAAGTGGTTTCTTGATTTTAGTTCTGCCTCTATCTAATTTGTTTAGTTTATGTACTTTGTGGCTCCTCACACAAGTAGAATAGGACAATAGCTTTATGGTAGGTAATGTAAACATGTTCATACAAGAAGTGGTTTCTTGATTTTAGTTCTGCCTCTATCTAATTTGTTTAGTTTATGTACTTTGTGGCTCCTCACACAAGTAGAATAGGACAATAGCTTTATGGTAGGTAAATCAGAATGTTCAAGTATTCAAAAGACTGGTCCTCATTTCAAGGGAAGACAACTTTGAAGGGAAATGAAATATCCTAGATGTGAACTAAAACGTGCAGAGGAAAAAGATGAACGTAAATATTACGATATTGCATTCCATTTTTGTGGCAAAGCAAATCTAGATTGCATCAGAGCCTTGGAAAAGTCGTGGGAACTATTTCAGAGGGAGATCCCAAACTGTATTTCAAGGGAAGGTGAGAAAGGTGGAGTGAAAAACTCCTGTAATCCTGAGGAAGCAATTGCTTCTACTGTCAACTCCCATGTCATTTAAACTAAAGAAATATTTTTATCAGATTGGAGAGTTTTTTTTTTTTTGCTTTAGTTTTCAATCCCTCTCTTCATTTATTTTTCAGTGGATGGAACTGAGGTTCAACACTCTGGCAAAATGCCCACACTGCAAAAAAATGTAAGTTGACAATATGATTGAGAAGTTCTTCAGAATTCCTACTTAAGGGGCTGGGAAGGTGGCTCAGTGGTAGAGCGCTTGCCTTGCATGCCTGAGGCCCTGGGTTCGATTCCTCAGCACCACATAAGCAAAAAGAAAAAAAGCCAGAAGTGGTGCTGTGGCTCAAGTGGTAGAGCGCTAGCCTTGAGCTGAAGAGCTGAGGGACAGCGCCCAGGCCCAGAGTTCAGGCCCCATGACTGGACAAACACACACACACACAAAAGAATTCCTACTTAAGTAGATTTTCACTTTAAGAAAAGTTGTAAAAATGAATGAACCATTTGTATGTTTATTTGAGGTTAAAATATAATTGAACTAACTAGTATATTTCATTTTGAAAGTAAAATATTTAGGCTTGATTTCATCATTCTCAAAAGGAAAGTCAATTTTATTTTATTTTGAACCAGTATTAGGGCTTTAACTCAGGGCCTTCACCTCTCAATTTTTTTCACTTATGGCTGGTACTCTACCACTTAAGTCACACCTTCAGTTCAACTTTTTTTTGCTGGATAATTGGAGATGAGTCTTGCATATTTTTTGTATCTAGGCTAAGTTTGTGCTCAATCTTCAGATCTCAGCTTCCTGAGTAGCTAGTATTACAATTATTTTGAAGCTAGCCCAGACAAGCAAAGCTGTAAGACTCTTATCTTCAATTAATCAGTGAAAAACTATGAGTGGAGATGTGGTTCAAGTGGTAGAGTGCTAGTATTGAGTAAAAGCCTAAGACCCAGAGTTTAAGCCCAAGTACTGGCACTAAAAAAATAAACATCAATTACTTGTTGAGGATTTTTAAATGTCTTGAGGGGTATGATCTTTTTCAAATAGTCAAAACTTGGTATTTGTAAAATGGGTTGCAATTCAGGAGAAAACTTAAAATTTCTTAGCATCCACAGTTATTATTAGTTTTTTTATCTGTGTGATTATTACCATGGGAGTTTATATAATTATTTGTCTTGTCTTAACCATACAAGATGATTTAGTAAGGTAAGCCATCTTATATCTATGAGTCAACTTATCTCTATTTCTATTTATCTCCATTTTTTGTCTAAGAAAAATAACAGCTATATGAAAATGGGAAATAACAACATTTTTTTTTTATTGTGTCTGTACTGGATTTTCTCAAGATCATGCTAAGATTCCTTTTCTAGGAGGCATATTGTAATCCCTATATTGTGGTACCCAGAGACAGGATTTTTTTTTTTAAATTTTAAGACAGAGTACAAAGCAAAATCAGAAGAGAGAAAAAGCAAATGGAGCAAAAACTGGTGGAGACCACATAGATATAAGCTGCCAAAGGTCCTTTCCCACTGGACTCCTTCAGCGATGAACTGTTATCTTATTATGCAATATCTTGTCTACAAGGGAATCTCTTGTTAGGCATTTGATGCCCAAAGCTCTCACTGGGGCTGTTTGTGCCTCGCACAACCCAAAGTTTGAATATTCAGAGGGAATGAACGTGCAAGCCATATTGTTTATTGTGTAGAACACATTTGAAAATACAGTAGGTTTTTGAAACCTCACTGTATGAGATTGTAAATTTTCTGAAAAGAGTGTAAATCTTCTAAGAAAAAAATGGTTACCTAGATAATTTTGATATAAATTGTTTGGATAATAAAACTACCAAAATACTTACAGATAATCCCCTAAAATTATAAAAGAAATATACCCTCTCTGTCTTTTCTAGAAAGGTAAAAAAGAAGACCAAGATTGAAGATTAGAAAGTCAGGTTTCTTTTTGGAGAGTGCTGGGGTTGAATCCAGGGCCTTTTGGATGTTAACCTTACTTATACAGAGTAATCCATGCGTTGGTCCATTAGGGAATGAGTGTGCTAAGTCTCTTAAAATCTAAGTTTCTTATATATAAGACAAAGGGTACAGAAATCAAAAGCAGCAGAATTAACCAAAGGAAAAAGGAAAGAAGAAAAAAAATAAAAAGAACCAAGGACAGTATAATTTAAAAAAATACACTTACTTCCATTTCTTGGAGTTCATTTTGATAGGCATCATTTTATTTCATTTTATGCACATAGCTATTGAGCCCTTGCAATCCTCTCCTAAGAATATCCTCCATTGTTCTTACTGCATGAATGTTTAGATTGTGGTTTAATCATGTCCAGGTGGTTAATTGCATATAAGTTTATCTGATTTGGGGAGGGGAAGGATAAGCACAGAAATGGTGGAACAAAGGGTGAACCCTTAAGCAGTGATGCCCATTAGACACTATGTTGGAAATGAACTATACAACTTTGAAGTGAGGGAAATCAGGAAGAAAAAACACTGGGAGAGAATGAGGGAGAGGATGACACTGTTCAAAAGGAAATGTACACATTACCTCAATCATGCAACTCTAACCCCTGTGTATATCACTTTTACAATAAAATAATTAAATTCCAACTTTGGGACAGCTTCTCAACCTGGCTTTCTAAAAATGGCACACTCAAGCCTGTGAAGATTGCTTCTTCCCATAGCATCTATTTTCATAACGAACTTTAATTAAAAATTATTCTCCACCAACATGTGTGAATTACAGTATCAGCAAAGTCAACTCAACTGGAATATTTTGACAATTTTTTTTAGAATTGAAAATAAAGGATCATATTTTAGTTTGTGTAACCTTTAGTATGAAATAATTATTTTTTATCTATTTTGAAAAATCCCAAAGCAGAAAAATCCCAAAAATGATTTCTAGAAGAAATTAAAGTGTCTAAAAAGTGAGAATGTGTTGTGTGCATATCTCCACTTATCTCTGCTAAACCAGAGTCTCACTAAATATAGTCCAGTTAGAGTAACGTTTTTGTTAGCATATTTTAGCTTTAAAAAAGGTTTTTTAAATTTGTGAAATCAATCTTCCAAGTTCTTTACTGAATCCAGTAGATATTTGCATATGGAGAAGCAAAGTGGATGATCCCAAATAAGTACACAGAAAAATATGTGTTTGAAGAATGCATATGTAAATGACATGTATTTCTGTATATTATTTTTAGAAAAAGAGTAGCTTCACTAAAGGCATCAACTTGGATAAATATTATAGCAAACAAAAAAGAGAGACTTGTGATTAGCAGATAGGATGCCAGGCATAGCTCCTTTATACACACGTATACACTAGAAACAAACTTCGTAGGAATCTTGCAGTGCAGGGATTATTATCCTCATTTTACAGATGGGGAACTGTTCAGCGGTTAAGAATTTTGCTCAAGAAACTTCTAGTTATTTTAGAACAATGACAATATTTTTGGCCAGAATAAAGAAGTATTGAATGTCTAGACATTCCCTGATCACAAGACAGTGTATTAATATAGAGGAGAATTTGTAGTGATAACTTAGGGTATTTACATAGAAATTCACATGAACTAGATATTATTGTAAGCATCATTCTAACAGAAATGTTTGTAGATTGGAGTCACATGCTAACCATGGGAGGACCGAGAATCACTAGTCTGAGGGCTGAAACTGTTATCACATGAAACCTGTAGTGGATATCCAGATTTATTTCCTTTTTGATTGCTTTTCAAGTAAGATCCCACATGATCTGTTAGAGTCACAGTCCAAGACAGAATTTTCTTTCTTTAAACCATAAGAATCCTAGAATTCCTTTTGAGTTTAGGTGTTACTAAGTCATTGTTAGGAAGCTACTGTGTTATATATTGATCTCACAAATGTGTCAGGAAAGCTTCCCTGGCAGAAGCAAAGAATCATTTCCTCCCAATGTCATTTCTCTACTTATACAGTAGCTGGAGCTACTGTAGTAGAAGGTGGTATTTTGTTGTTGTTGTTTTTTTTTTAAACTGGGCAACTTCTGATCACTGTCCTACTTTTAAATAGAGCTGGAATTGTATTTCTATGCAAATACTATAATGGAGCTAAGACTAATAGATTTTATCCAAATTGTCATCAGATACAACTTTTTCACTACTGACGTGTCCCCTTATAATCATCTCCTACCATTTTAAACAATGGCAGATTTCTACTGTCAGACATTATCCTATTATCTTGCCACTTGGTGCTCTAATTATTTAGTAAACTGGTGTTTGAAATAAAGGCAAAATCTTGCCACTTTTGTAAATGAGAGACAATAGATTATCACAAAATTTTGAATGCTTTCAAGGAGATATATGTAGCATGCTGTGCTGTGAGCAGCATGAGAAAAGCTTTAAGGAGAGTGATATTGAACTAACTTATGAAAGATGAGGAGGAATTAGGTTCACTGCAAAAGGAGTTACCTATGCCTCGGTAGACAACTTGGGGTACAGATGTGTTTAGACATTGTAAAATAAATTGCATTGAAGGGAGAGGGTCAGTGATTGGGCAGGGGCGGGGGAGAGGTATCTCTGATTACCTTATTTCCAAGAGTCTGTGGAGGATCTAGAAGAAATGTGTCTGGTGCCTCATGCCTATAATCCTAGGTACTCAGGAGGCAGAGATCGGAGGATCAGAGTTTGAAGCCAGCTTGGGCAGAAAAATTCCTGTGAGACTTTCATCTGGGAAAACAAGCTGGAAGTGGCGCTGTGGCTCAAGTGGTAGAGCACTAGCCTTGGGCACAAGAGATTCTAGGTTAGTGCCCAGGTCTAGCAAAAAAGAAAGAACGAAAGAATGAGAGAAAGAGAAAGAAAGAAGGAAGAGAGAAATCGAGAGAGAGAAAGAACGAAAGAAAGATGTATCTGGCAGAGGATAATATTCATCTTGCACATGGTTGAGATAAAGAGAACTCTAGGTTTGTTAGCTTAATTGAGTCTTCATCTTATCAGTCTGCTTTTCAAATCACCAATCTTGGATCAATGTAGGCATGGTCTTCTCTTTTCCTTTACCAGAATAATCAAAACCTGAAAATTTTGATATTGTTTAGGTATTTAAAAAGGTACACCTTTACACTTTTGCTACAGCTTTGCTCTAAATACCTTCTAAAACTGCTCACTTAACTCCTTTTATCACTCTCCAAAACAACAATCTCTAGATACTTATTTCTGTTAAAACACCTGCCTCCCAAATCCCCTAACTCTCCCAGGCTCAGTGAGTGTTTATTCCCAATCCCCTAACGATGATTGGGCTATGAATTCCTGTAGGTTCACACTTCCTGTCTCTGTGCCTACTTCCCTTTTGCTTCTCATAAGGAAGCAGATGTCTTCAAGTTGTATGCCTTCATTTGATCATGATTCTGTACTCTCTCTGGAACAAAGCACAATTAACTATCAGCCCCCACTAGGCCACTGAATTTTCTCTGAAGAAGTTTACATCCCAATTGCAAATTCAAAGATTAGTCTTTATCCTGCTTTTTTTTCCCTCTAAGCAATTGGTTATGTTGATCATCCTGTTTGTTTTTCCTTAAAATTTGTTTTTTCCTTGCTTTTTAGGTACTGCTTTCTCCTGAGCTTTTCCCACATCTCAGAATAATCCTGTGTGTTATTGCCTTTGTTGGTCTCAGTTCCTCTACTGTCCATAGTTTGAGAGTTAACCACCTAATGTCTGAATTTCTCATATGCCACTATCATCTATCTATCAAAACCACCTCCAATCTCTCTTTGGAACTTAAAATGTCTATATACAGTCTCTGTTGGTTACCTCACATATCACCATTTTAACCTAGCATCTCATTGGCATCCCAAACACACCATGAATAATTTCCTACCCTATTCTGCAAACTAAGTTTCCTATGTGTTAGTGAATATACCAGCCAAAGTTATCTGTTTACTCAGGTGATAACAGAAATAATTTCTTTCTTCCCCATATCTAGATGCTAACATCTTATCAATTCAGCTTTTCCTTTACTTGTTGGCATATTGTTTTGAGGAAAAAACTTCTTTTTCCCTTTGGGCAGAAACGTACTGTATGTTCTACTATACACCCAATGCCTAAAGTCCAGAATTAAACTTCAGACTTCTTAGCAATGTAGGTAAAATCTGCCAGGCTTATGTCTTTACTGGGCTTTTCTAGAGATGTTTTTCTTCCATATTTAAACAACATAACCTCCTGTGTCACAGACTCAACAGTCTTCTACCTCCATAGAGTATTATATGGTATCTTGTTTCTGTCACTCAGTCTTTTTTTTTTTTTGCCTTCAGAGATCTCTATTAGGAGAGTAGTATTATCCTGCAAGACCTGCAGCTCCTGGTTAGTCTCTTCCTCATTCTTGCCTAAGTGTAAAACATTATTTAACTTCACCAGTTAGCTGAAATATCTCTTGCTTTTACTGTTTATCTGAAGAAACCTTTCCTGACAGGATTGCTTCTTGAATAAAATTCTTTTCATATCTCAACAATATGACTATTATCAGCTAAGATTATTCACTCCTCCTCCTATTCACGTCTTAACCTTTCCCTAAAATCCCACTGTATTCATCCATTTGCTTTTAATGTAGTCAAATATTGTGTGCTTGCAGTTTGCAGGAGTAGCATGCCTATGCAGGAGGTGGAGGCAGGATAATGGCAAGTAGAAAGGGCAAAAGTACAAAGACTGTAGGGCATATCAAACAAGTAGCTCTGGGTTCTATCTCCAGTATTGAAGGGAGAGAGGAATCTAAGATCAGGAATCTAAGATCATTTCTAGTGATAGCTCAAGTGGTAGGGCACTTGTCTATCAAACAAGGAGGTGTGTCTTCCATCTCCAGTATTGAAGAGGGAGAAGGACAAAGAGAGGGATGGGGAGGAAAGGAGCTAAGAGTGGAAATCCAAGGTCAAGCTGACATCTAGTGATCTTTTGTTTGATTTTTAATTTGGGTCATAGTTGATGTTCTACTACTTGAGCCAAGCCTCCAGTCTGACATTTGGTTGGTTAATAGGAAATGGAGTCTTGAAAACTTTTTTGGCTTTAAACTTGATCCTATGATCTCAGCCTCTGGAGTAGCTAGAATTACAGATGTGAGCTACCAGTTCCTGGCTCTGAGGATGCTCTTCTTTGTTGCTGTAATAGATTTTGCAGTATATAGCTAGCCAGCTATAGACATTTCCTAGCATTCCTTGCAGGGGGTGTGGCCATGTGTTTAGGTTATAGACAATTGAATGTGAACAAAAAATATTAAGTATAACTTCTTTCCAGTCTCTAATGGAGAATTGCTTGATTTTGTTTTCTCTTTCCTCTTCTAATTTCCTGGAGTAGGCAAGTATGGCAGAACCTTGTTTCTGTGTTGAGTCAGACAATGCTGGTATATCACAGAACTGTGATGTTTATCAACTCTAGGCTGCAAAATTTATGTTTGTATTTTATATGCTAGGGAAACAAATTATAGTTCAGACTTCTCTATTGTAGCAAGCACTCTACTTTTCCCTCTGTATAAAAGGAACTATTACTGTTATCACTTCATCAGAAACATAAATTCTGTGCTTTTGTGCACCAAACATAAAATAAGAATGATAATTATAAGGTCGATGTTCTTATGGAGCAAGACATAAATATAAAAGACAAATGTTGATACTTTAAAAATAGAAATATATTTTTATAACAGAGATAGGAATGAATTTTCCATATAAGGTCAAAATTGAAAATCCTAAGGGAAGCAATAGGTAATTATGTCTAGATTAGAATTTCCTTTCTCTATGGTGATTTTGTTAATAAAAACTCTTCACAAAAAGATATTAAAATGATTTTTAAACCACAGACTCTAATAAGATATATGCAGAGTGCAGAGCTGTGAGGAATAGTATCTAGATTATATAAATATCACCACTTGATTATTCTATCACTTGAGCCATGTCTTCAGCCCTGATATTGCTGATTATATTGGAGATGGACTTTTCTGCCTGGGTTTGCCTTGAACTTCCATCTTCTGGACCTCAGCCTTCTAAATATATGGGATTATAGGAATGAGCCACCAGTACCCAGCCACATTAATCAAGTGTATGATTAAACAAAAGATAGCCTAAGGCAAGGACAATAGATGTAAATGAGCATTTGATAGAAAAAGAAAAAATAGCTAGCTAGCATTTAAAAAGATGTATGTTCACCCTTGCTAGAAACCATGGCTACACATTAAAACTTATGAAATACTATTCTCATCCATAAAATAGTTAAAAATGAGAAAGGAAGTGTCAGAATTGAGAATGTATATGTACATATGCATAAATGGATGTGATCTTTATTAAAATGTACATATATATGTATATATGTGTATATATACATATATGTACAACCCAGTAATTCTATTCCTAAATGTATGTTTGATAAATTCTTTCATATATTAGCAAGTGTTATTAAAAGCAACACTGTTACAATAAAATATTAAGAAAAATCTGAAGGCTTATTAACAGATAAGTAAACAATTATACTCATAAATGAAATGCAATTATGAAAATGGATAACTAGATATTCACATACTAATATATACATTCTCATCTAGGGTATTGAAAAAATAAAAAGGAACAAGCCATGGCAACATACAGTCCAAACCACATCTATTAATCATTTCTTACTTTCTTTTTTCTTATGGTACTGGGATTTAAACTCGGGATCTCATGCTTGCTTAATTTGCTTGCTTGATTGGGATTCTTAACATTTGAGCCATTTGTCGAGCCCTGATATTGCTGATTATATTGGAGATGGACTTTTCTGCCTGGATTTGCCTTGACCTGTCATCTTCTGGATCTCAACCTTCTGAGTGCAGGAATGAGCCACCAGTCACATTAAGTTTTACCATAGGCAAAATAATCCTGTATCTTGCTTATAGAATCATATGTAAGTTAAATATGAGAGTTTGGTATCTGTGCAATAAGACACTTGTAGGTTGTTGTTTTACCCTTTTGTTGGGATGGCACTTGGGTCATGGAGTAACAGTACTTCCTTTTTTCCTCTTGAGAGATTTCTCAGAAGTAGTGATTAAGTGTAAAAAAGGACATGCATTTGCTAAGCAAAATTCACATACTAAGATTAATGCACTCAAATTATTCTCTTGGATCACAGAAAAGGTACTCTAATCTTCACTTAGAACCTGAGACTTCTTCAATATGTGGTTCTAAAAAACTTGGTTGGTTTAGGATATGGTAGGCTACAAGAGACAGATATCTAGATAGTAATGAAAAACAATTAGCCATGAGTCAAGAATGAAACCACTAACTGGATGTATAGGGACACAAGAGATTTTATCTTTCTTGCTGTTCTTGTTAATGAACTTATAATGTACTATGTGATTTTTTTTTGTTTCTTTGTATGTTCTTCCCTCATGGTATAACCCCTGTTGTCACTGTATTTGATTCTGGTGTCCTACATCTTGTATATACATTTTTCTAATTTGGAGAGGGGAAGGGAAATAGCAAAATGCTGAAATAAGGATACAGGATGACCCACTGTAACAACAAGATGTACAAGACACTATGTTGAAAACGAACTTTAAACTTTGCAGGGGGAGGAAGAGGGAGGAGTGGAAAGGGGCGGGAGGTACTGGGGAGGAAAGGGATGGTAGGGGAAAAACAAAGGAGGGGGTAACAATGCTCGATAGGAAATGGACTCATTACCTTACTCATGTAACTATAACCCCTCTGTACAGTATCTTTACAATAAAAAATATATATTGAAAAATTTTAAAAAGTAGTCTAAGCCAAGCATGACATAAAGGTAATGAATTCTACATGTCCTAACAACTTCAGATAGCAACATGTAAGATGGTGATTAATAGTGGCCTCTGGGTCATCTAGATGTTGACGTCATTCAAGTACTGAGGAAAATTTATGATGTATATTTGCAGTAGATTTAATGATTTAACAAAATTTGAGTGATTAAAGCTAGTGCTTATGCAAAATTAGAACATCTCCAAGGAAGCACATTTATCAATTTTTCCTAGTATGTGATCCAGTCTTGTAATTTTATTTGACAAAAGTTCCTTGAGATATTTTACCAAGTTAAGAATGATCTTGACACTGGCCACACGTTCTTAGTGATGTCTTTCTTTTGCATGATTTGCAGCTCTTCTGTAGGTAGTGCACTTCCTCGAAGACGCTGCTGTGCTTATATCACCATCGGAATGATCTGTATTTTCATTGGTATCGGATTAACTGTGAGTACTACTTTACTATTAGAATTCTTCCCTCTCAACATTACCTACTGCGGTCAGCCTGAGGACTGAGTCATTTTTGCCTTCCTGGCATGGGGGTCTACCACCTTAAAAACAAACACACAAACAAACAAAAACTACAGGCAGTTAGAAACCTGATTTTTTTTGTTCATTAATGGTTTAAAAATACCTTATTAGACTATTATTAGACAAAATAATGGGCTTTATTGTATGCTGACCTGTTTTAAATGGAATTTGCCCTCCTAGATAAAAATGTACCTTGGACCTTTGTCAAAGTTATTAAAAACTTGGGAATGTGCCATTCATTTAACAAAAGCCCATTTGTAGAGCAGAACCAACAAAATGACAAAGCCTGAAAAATCATTTTCTTTATCCACATCCCAAATCAAACAGAGAATCATTACCAGTAGGAGGATGGGTTATTTTTAGGGAAGACAGAAGCTAACCACTTGGCATTGGGGGTTATGCCAGACAAAGAAGGGACTGACCTTTTTGCTGCCACTTTGCTCTTCTTACTGTGTTCCCCAGTCAGTATATCTGATTCCATATTATTAACAGTGTCTCACTAGGTCACATGATATTGAGTTACATAAATTAAACGCCATTCAAAGGTAACTTATTTTAGATTGTGTGTGTGCGCTCAGCCTTCCTAGTAGTTTTGATTATAGGCATGAGCCCTTGGTGCCTGGCTTTCTTAAGAAGATTTTAATTTTTTGAGACAAAATTTTGTGTATCCTGCATTGACCTGTAACTCATGTTCCTTCTGCCTCAATTTTCCAAGTTTGGGATTGCAGGAGTACACTACCATGGTTGGCTCTGTGTGTGTGTGTGTGTGTGTGTGTGTGTGTGTGTGTGTGTGTGTGTGTGTGTGTGTGTGTGTGTGTGTGTGTGTGTGTATTTTGTTATATTTATTTCATAAAATTTATATTTTAAGTTCAGTCAGGGTAGCTTATGCCTGTAATTCCTGCTACTTGAAGGCAGAAATAGAGAAAATGGTGGTTAGGCAAAAAGTGAACCAGACATCATCTCAACAAAAAGTTGGGTGGTGGTGGTGCCTGATATAAGTGAAGTTTAAGTAAGAGAGATACAATTTAGGCCAGCTCAGAACAAAAACATAATAAGCTGGAGAGGTTACACTTGACTAGTAAGCTGGAGACCTGAATTCAAACCCCAGTAGCACAAAAAGCAATAGTTAATATAAGTAGCAGTAATGTCTGCAGGAATAAAATCAGGTTATAGGAATGTTGAAAGTTCCGTCTGAGGTTATGCTTCACACAAATCACACACATACAAGTCAACACAAGGTTCTCTAAGCTATATTTTCTTTAAGTTTCTAATCTTATATTTATATATATATTTTGTTGTTGTTGTTTTAGGTTGGCACACAAGACTTTGCAAGGCGATTCCATGCAACCTATGTTTCTTGGGCAATTGCATATCTCTTAGGTTTGATCTGCCTTATCCGAGCTTGTTACTGGGGAGCCATAAGAGTCAGTTATCCAGAACACAGTTTTGCATAGGCTGGCCTCTGATTCGGTGATGGCAGGTGAGAGTGTCTCACAGTCTTTGATAAGCTACTCTGGACATGTTTAAATCATTTATCCTAATGGATTCCATCCTGGTTTATGTATACTAGTTTCAAGACTTTGGGAGTCTTTTCTGGACAAATGCTCATTGCACTATGTTATATGCAAATTGTTTTGCTGCTAGGTTTTCAAATTCACAAAAATAAAGCTGTGTTTTTATGTTATTTTAATCTATTAAAGATACTTTCAGATTTGTCACTAAACACCATATATTACCCCTTTGCTATGGGTCTCGATCATTATTCCATGACTTGCCAATCTGTGACTATTCCCAAGAGGTATTTATAAATGTTTCTACAATAGTTTTGCATTTATAATTATGTTTTAGTTAAGCAGTATTAACATTGCTTGCTTTTAAAACAAAGCAATATGCATTATTTTTGCCTGAACTGCTTACAGCAATTTAAACCTAAGATTATAATGACCTTATTCAGGAAAAAAAAATTGAGTGTACTTTCAAAAACTTGGTATTCTTGTCAGAGAAACATTTCTAGATACTGTATGCTCATTTTGTCTTGTTTGTAGAAAGATAAAATATTTTGGTAGTAATGTAAAATACAAGAATGAAAAATATTTATTTGCCCACAGAGATGTTGGATAAAATTTTTTTTCAAAGCTCACAGGATTTTTTTGCCTTTCATTATTTTTGTCTTTTTATTTACCAGTTAAACATCTGCTCTGGATTTATTGAGTTAATGTTAACAGGTCATATGTATTCCTTTATAGACTGGTGGAAGTATTTCACGTAACATGTTTTATAATACTTAACCACTTAATTAAAGATATATTTACTTTGGGTTTACTCCTTTGTAATTAGAGTATTTTTCTTGTTGGGATAACTGTGCACCACTTAGATGTGATGGGAGCCTAGATATTTTGCACTAGCTGAAATGTTAAAGGTTAGAATTACTCTTAACAATTTTTCTCAAGTATGACTGTTCAGATGATTACTAAATTTAGTCAAGGAAATAGATCAAAGACAAATAGCAGCATAGTTTTCTAAGAATTCTCTAAGATTATGGAATCAGCTCTTGCACTGCCCGTTTTTGCAGTTTTGAAAACGTTGTTTAAAAAGTAATGCTCTAAAGTCTTTCATATAGAATTACATCATGCAGTGTCTAAGTAAAATAACTGTCGTTTCCAGGGATAAAACTAATATTTAAAATTATTTGTGTTCCTGACTAATATGAAAATGTACTCACCAGAGAGTTTAGAGCAAAATCCATGTAAATGTCACAGACCAAATGGTAAATGTATAAATACAGTAGCTCAGGATTATATGTAATTGGAAAACACACTAATAAAGGTTATTGTCCAAAAGTCACTTTGTCTTAATCTATTAAAAAGAAACTAAGTTTCATTTCCAAAATTGTCTTGAGATATTGCTATCATTTTCATGTTTAAAAGAGTACATCATTAGCTCATGCCTGTAATTCTCCTTACTACTCAGGAGGCTGAGATCTGAGGGTTGTGGTTCAAAGTCATCCCTTGCAGATAAGTCTGTGAGATTATCTCCAATAAACTACTCAGAAAAAGCTGGAAGTGGTGCTGTGGCTCAAGTGATTGAGCATTAGCTTTGAGCAAAAGAGCTCAGGGACAGAGCCCAGGCCCCGAGTTTAAGCCCCACAACTGACATCAAAAAAAAAAAAGCACATCATTTTTTTCTATAATATTCATTTGATTTTTCTACTATTTTCATGAATATCTTAAAATTCAGATTACATCCATCTGTAACACATTTAATGTTCAATATAAAATAAGCTAATTTATTTCTTAATGACTTACAACTTGAAAAAATATATAATGAATTTATCAATCCATATTTTTCCTTTTTGAATTGAAATTTTACATTGTTATATGCTGTATCATCCTGTTGCTTCTGGACTATAACCTTGGCAGTCCTGTTCAAAGCCAGCCCAATAAGAAAAGTATGTTAGACTTAACAAAAGCCAGAAGTTGTAACTCTAGTTAAAGTGGTATAACACTAGTCTTGGATGGGAAAAGCTAAGGTCCAGAACCCAGACATAATTTCAAGCCCCAGTACTGGAGCAAGTGTGTGCGCACACACACACACACATGTACACAGAGGCATAATCATAATCATCTTCTAGTATATGATCCTTAATTGTAGCAGTTTGTAGTAATTTTTGATTTTTGTGCCCCCTACTGTTCATTGTCTGTAGCTTACCTAATTTCAAAATAACAGAATATTTTAGTTCCAAAATATTTTATGAATTTCATGTTGTATCCAACTGAACTGATTTTTAGAGCATTTAAAATTTTCTGTTTAGGTAACAAAATCTAGGAAGACTGAACAGGAGTATTGTCTGTTAAACATGAGAAAATCAACACACAATGAGCTTTAAATTCAAATTATGGTAAAATAGCACAGAATGCTAATAAAATGATTTGTAAAAGCTTTTAATTTTTAAATTCATTTACAAGATCACTTGCAATTGAAATAAATATTATATATTCCTTCACATGCATTTTGCTTGAGGGGGAATGCTATGTAAAAGAAGAAAAATAGGCCTGGCACCGGTGGCTCCTATTTATAATCCTACTCAGGAGGCTAAGATCTGAGGATTGTTGTTCAAAGCTAGCCAAGCAGGAAAGTACATGAGACTCTTGTCTCCAACTAACCACCAGAAAACCAGAAGTGTTACTATGGGTCAAGTGGTAGAGTGTTAGCCTTGAGCAAAAAAGCTCAGGGACAGCATCCAGGCCCTGAGTTCAAGTCACACAACTTACAAAATATGAAAAGGAGCTCATATTGTTTTGGGATTTTGAGTGTATTAGAGATAACTTGAAAAACTTGTCCTCAAGGTGATTCCATGGTCTTTCAGTTTTTTAGCAGTCATTTAAGCTAACTTAGTGACCAGAAAAAAAATCACATGCTGTGCTTTGATCAAATTGTAAATATTAAGGGTTGGATGCAGGACTATGAAACATTCCTGGTATTACAGTATAATTTCCCAAAAGCCTCACCATGTATGGTATTTTCCACATCAGGAATATCTTTAAGATACTGGATATTTACATTATCTTGGGAGAAATTCATTACTTTTTTTTTTAGTGATTATTAAGTCTTTAGGAAAGTTTAGGAGACTTGTGAACAATCCCTTAGCTTACATAATGCTGCTTTACTTAGTCTCTTCCTTCATACCTGTTGTATTCCTTTCTGATAGTTAACCACTCTATGATCTGCCACTAGTAAGTTTCCTTTTACACCCTCAAAAATCAACAACCTTCACTATCCTTAACATGTGTCACTGACTTAAATGTCAGTATGAGTGGTCCATCTAATATTATGGTCTAGACTCACCATTCTTTGCTTCTGTAAAAATTTCAAACTGACTTCTAGAGTTGGGTGTGTAGCTCAAATGGTAGTGGTAGAGTAAGTACCCTGGGTTCATACCAGCTTAACCCCCTTCTCCCCCCACAAACTGCCTTTTAGAGTTGGCCCTTTCCTCCTACACCCGTTCCTTGCTTCATCAGAGAAATCACAGTATCTTTTGATCTCTATATTCATCTGAGTCAGTAACTGGTATTATAATTTTTACTTTCTTATCCTCACAGTCTATATGGACGTTCTTCTTTCTGTATACACACTTCCTTATTTATGACTCTCATACTCATTGCCATAGCTTTTTAACAATTGTTGTACAATAACATCTACTTATCTATGAGTATATGTTTCTGTAAAAACCTGCCTTGCTTCATCCCTTGCTTATTTCATATCGCTTCCTAATCTATTTTCCACATATTTATTTCCCAGATGGCCATTTATTATCATACCTAGCCTAAAGTCCTTTCCATATCCTTATGAGATAAAAGATCCCTTATCCTTATTTAGCGTAAAATTAACCCACTATTAATAAAGGTCTTATATTTTGTGTTCCTCATGATTAAATTATCGGTGCTATTGATATTAACTGTTTTTGTTTATTTTGTACCATTCCTGGGGCTTAAATTCAGGGCCTGGGCACTGTCCCCAAGCTTCTTTTCCTCAAGGGTAGCACGTACCATTTGAGCCACAGCTCTACATCTGGCTCTTTTTTTAGAGCTAATTGGAGACAAGAGTCTCACAGACTTTCCTGCCCAGGCTGGCTTCAAACTGTGATTCTCAGATTTCAGCCTCTTGAGTAGTTAGGAATGCAGGAGTGAACCACCAGTACCTGCCTTATATTAACTGGTCTATTCATGTCTCTGGCTTTGTCCTTCTATATGCAAAAAAATGTTCTTTTCTAAGTGAGTAAACTTTTTATGCTTGATAATTCTGAGGTCTGAACCCATGATTTCTCTTTTCCTCTGACCCATGAACAGAATTGTTAAAACACTGATTGGAGGCAAACATTTCCACTACAGCTACTGCACTGTTTTGCTTATTCATAGGCTTACTTTTGTTCTCCTCTTGTTAACTGAGTATTGGTCAAAATATGTTTGAGTTTGGATTCCTAGACCATAACAAGGATAAACCTTTTCAACTCTTGCTTTTCTGAGCAAAGTCTAATATTTATTATAGCTTCTTTCTACCACTTCGATTGATTTGTTCATTTATTCATTCTTAACTTTTTTACTTTTACCTTTTCTTTTTAACTTACTTATTTAACACTTCACCTACAGTCCTATTTGCTGAAACTGGGGCTTGAACTCTTGGCTTGTAATTCCCCTCCCCCCTTTTTTTTCTCAAGGCTATGACTTGAAACACATCTCCAGTTCTGGGTCTCACTTTTTGCCTGGGCCAGATCCTCCTATTTATGTTTCCCATAGCTGTGGTGACAGGCATGCATCACCATGCCAAACTTTTTGTTAGTTGAGATGTAGTCTCATGAACTTTTTGACCAAGCTGGACTTGAACTGCAATCCTCTTAACCTCAGCTTCCAAAGTAGCTAGGATAACAGCTGCTGTGCTTAGCTTACCATAGCTTTTAACAAATTGTTATACAATAGCATCTCCTTATCTATGAGGTATGTTCCAAGACTCCCAAATGCATTCCTGAAATTGCAGATAGCATTAAAAATATGTCATTTCCCATACAGATAAAGCTTAACTTATATACTAGGCACACTTAAGATATTGCTAACAACTAATAATAAAATAGAAACATATAAGAATATCCTATGATAAAATTGCCAGAATCATAGTTCTTGTGCTTTAGGGCCACTGCTAAGTAAATAAAGGGCTTCAGGAACACAACCTCATAGCAAAATAACAGTCAGTCTGACAGCTGAGACAGCTACTAGGTGATCAGTAGATATGTAGCATATACAATATGTATATGCTAGACAAATGGATGATTCATGTCTTGAGAACTCATCAGTCTACTCTAAAATACATACTTCAATCTAATGAATTACTTATTTCTGGAATTTCCCTTTTATTGAATTCAGAATGGGATGGGGACAGTTACTACTATGAGCAAATATGAGTATATGTATCCTTTATAAAATGTTTTGTAGCCCTGTGCCTGTGGCTCATACCTGTAATCTTAGCAACTCAGGAGACTGAGATCTGAGGATAGCGGTTCAAAGCCAGCCCAGACAGAAATTAAATTGGAGACTCTTATCTCCAATTTAACCACTACGCTGTGGCTCAAGTGGTAGAGCACTTGATTTGAGCTGAAGAGCTCAGGGACGGTGCCCATGCCCAGAGTTCAAGTCTTACAACCGACCAAAAAAATGATAAAATGTTTTGTAAATGTTTGTTGATTAAATGAGAGGCAGAGTAATGAAGGAGAGTGGTGAGGAGATCATTTGGAAACTCTGAAAGAACGCTGTTGCTTTACTTTTGCTTGCTTACTCATCTTTCAGTAGCACCAAGGTTATATTTCCAGCCAGCTACTAAAGAGAGAGAGAGAGAGAGAGAGAGAGAGAGTGTGTGTGTGTGTGTGTGTGTGTGTGTGTTCCTAGCACTCAATACTATGAGGGCAGAGGTAAATAAGAGAAAAATATATACATGTTAGTTGTGAATTATCTGAGATTCCTATTTCTTTGTTTTACTTAATGCATTCTCCAAGCCTTTGGGAGTGCAGATCCCCCATATTCCAAAGCCATAGAGGATGTGGGATGACAACCTTGGGAAATGTTTTCAGCTTCCAGTTTATACTTTTTTTTCCCTTTTCTTCTTGTTCCCCCTTTTCCACCAGTACTGGCTGGGTCTTGAGCTCATTGAACTCACAGCCTAGGCATTGTGTCTGGGCATTTTTGCCATGGCTAGTGCTTTACCATTCGAGCCACAGCTCCAGTTACCTTTTTTTTTTTGTCAGTCATGGGGCTTGAACTCAGGGTCTGGGTACTGTCCCTGAGCTGTTCTTTTCTCAAGACTCCAGGTGTAAGCCACTGGTGCCCAGCTCCAATTATCTTTTGATGGTTAATTGGAGATACGAGTTTAATGGGCTTTCCTGCCTGGATTGGCTTTGAACCACTGTCTTCAGATCGAAGCCTCCCAAATAGGTAGGATTACAGTCGCCTATAGGACTGAGTCACTGGTGCCCACATTATTATTATTATTATTATTTAGCTTTAGGGGTCTGAACTCAGGGCCTTAGTGCTTGCCAGGCAGGCACTTTACTACTTGAGCCACATGTATACCCAGCCCTTTCCACTCATTTTAAAATGTTTTTACCCAGACTGGCTTTGCACCATTAGCCTCCTATTCATAGTTGGTATGATAATTGCACACTTCTGTGTTTAGGTTTTTATTGGTTAGGATGGAGTTTGGGGAATGTTTTGCACAGGGTGCCTCAAACCTGACCATCCTGGATCTCCACCTTCTGACTAGGATTGTAGGTAAGAGCTACCAAACCTGAATAGTTTTTCATTGTGTTCCTTGGCAACAATTTTGTAATACATTTTTCTTTCAACGATGCTATTCATTATTAAAAGTTTAGAAAATTAGTTTTATAGTTCCGTACATGTAATAGGTATGTCAATGTTTAGTAATTTGAGGAAATCTGTTAAGAGTTTCTGATTTGGGAGCACTTTAAGATTTCTTAGACAGTAACCCTAAGTACTCTTTTAATTGCTGAAAATCATTGATTGTCAAAGTTCTTGTAAAATTTCATTACAAATTCTAGATTTTTAAGTTTTAATGTTTCTGTGGTTCCTTCTTTCTTCATCAGTGGTCAAAATCTTCAGGAGTATATTCTATATAAAAATAGTCTCTTTCCTCAAGTTACTGGTTTTAATTTTACCTGAAAATGTTAATATTTTTATTACCTTTAAGTAGCTGTACAAAGGAGTTGCCACTAAATAAAGCAGTTTATAAACACAATGCATTTGATCAGTGTCACCCCTTACAATATTTTCACTCATCCCTCCCTGAAAACGTTACAGGTAAGATTTCTATTAAAATAATCTTGATTTAATAGAGCAGTTACAAAATAATTTAAGATGCATATGAAATTATATGTGAGTCTTAGTAAATATATTCCTGAAGAGAGCTTCTATTGTGATTAGATTGATGAGAATTGTATACTGGACCTACAATTTTCTACATCTGAGAGTTGAAGGGACACCTGGACTACACTGCCCACAGACTTATGGTGTCTTATAGCACATGCTACCTTCTTATTATGACACATCTTTTTGACCCTGCACTTTCATCTCTGATTACAAGTGTGTCATCTCAGTGGCTGGTATTGGTGTTCATGGAAGCCATATCTACACCAAAATAGCAAGAATTTGATTCTACATGGAAGTGCTTGTGAAACCTCACATTTTTGAAGGTAGTAAATCTGGTTGAGTATCAGTGGCTCATGCCTGTTACTTACCTACTAGTGACTCGACTCAGGAGTCTGAGACCTTTAATTCGAAGTCAACCTGGGATGAAAAGTCTGAAAAACTCCAATTTAACAACAAAATGGACTGGAGGCATTTCTCAAATGGTGATTACATAGTCCTGAGTTCAAACCTCAGATCCAGCTAACAATTAAAATAAAAAATAGTAAATCCTACCATATTATTACCCTCCTCTGAAGACCTTTTGATGCTTCCCAACCCATAAAAAATAAAATTCACATCTTCTTGAATTTACAACACACCCTGCTTCTCTTATTTCTCCAAATTCATCTTCAGAATCTTTTCACTTTAAAGTCTAGCCATACTTGTCTGTCATCAATTTCTACAACATAGAATATTTTTCCCTATTGAGGCTATCAATACCTGCCATTCGCTCTAGCTAAACAGTTTCTTATTCTATACTTGTATTCTAGCCTAGATGATCCCTTTTCAGAGATCCTTCTTGAGACACCCCATTCCAGTCAATTTTTCTTTGCCTTGACCCTGGTTTCCAGTCTCATTTGGGGAAAATTTGCCTTTAGTATTCTTCCTAAATCATTTCTGGGATGTGTTTTACTTAATCAGCATCCTTTTCCTAATGTTCCAATTTGTCTATAATATACCTATATATGTGTGTGTATGTATACATATATATATATATTATATATATATATAGCAAGTCTAAGTTACACATGTGGTCTGTTTTATATGTATATATACAAAATGGCTTTTTTTGATAATCCAAACATCTCATAACCTCATATATGGAAGTCCCACTCATAACTCAAGAGTTCCTTCTCCAAAACTGTTCTGCCACCTGTATTCCCTATTTTATGTCCCCACTGACATATGTCTCCACTGTTATGTGCTCTGGTTAGAAACTCAAGAGTCGCCTTATCTGCACATTCTCCTGTCTGTCATGGAATTTAAATACTTGTCACTAACATCTGCCAGATCTACTATCCCTTATCCCTTCTTGCCCACTGAGCTCAGATACAAGCCACTGTCTTCCATCATCCTAGCACGATCCACAGGAAAGCCCTCTCCATGAGTTTTGCTACATTTCTGCTCTCTCGAACCACCCACTCTCCGCAGAGCTGTCAGAATGATCTTGCCAGCATTGGATTTTGGGGATGATAAGTTTGCACACTAGTTGTGTAAAATTCTTCGACAGTGTCACTTGGGTCACGGCCCCAAGTCTGATTCCAGTTCCCCCGTTTCATTTTCCTCACTACCCTTTTACTCCAGTCCCATTTACCCCACCTTACACAGATACCTTTTCCTTCGGGGGCTCCTCTTCTCCGGGCTTTTCCTCCTCTTCCTCTCCCAGCTATGCATGCACCGCAGCCTGCACTCGACCTCCCAGGCCTCCTCCCGTGCCCCGATCTACGCGGGGCCTAGCCGGCCCGCCTCCCTCCTCGGAGGGGACCCCGGGGAGCAAGAGAAGAAAACGCAGGTGGAGAGCGGAGGCCGCCGAGTCCGGTGGAGCCGCCGGGGAACGGCACTTGGCGGGAGATGAGTTACTTTGGACCGGGGTGAACCCCAAGGCCGGACGCACAGCGGGGGCCCGGCGGGGTGCGCTAGCCGCTCTGACGGGGTGGGACGGTTTCCCTCGTCAGCGCCAGGCGCCGGCCTCCCTCACAGAGGCGGCCGGCCTCCCTCACAGAGGCTGCCTGGAGCCCTAGGTGCTACTCACCGCCGCTCCAGCTCCCGCCGCGCGCAGCTGCGCAGGAGG